AAAAACCTCATGTGAGACTGATAGTTGTTCTATATCTGAAAGGAATTCAAACTTAATGGACACCTATGTGCATTTAAAAAACACACAACAAAATAAAATGCCCATATTCACAGTTTTACAGTGGCAGAATTACGCCCCTATGCTGCTGGGCTGTGACTGACCTTTGACGGAGGGAGATTTTGTGGGGTGAGACTTCAAGTCTGGTGATATTAAAACAGGCTGATATATTGAAACAGTGGAGATCATATAAATAAACTACAAAAAGGAAAAGGAAAAACTGATGAGATGAAAAAGTTGGACTTCATAAACCAGACAACAGTACAAGGTAGGAGTGGTGAATCCATGGAAGGTTTAACTTGTTGAAATAGCCCAACATTTCCCCTTAGGTTCCTTTTAATTTCAATCAATTATTACATTGTTGCTTGTTACTTTTTAACATAAAAACTGTTGGTACTGTCACTAAGAGCTCATTTGTAGTTTAATAATTCCTTGAGGGTATTATGGTTGATTTAGGACATTTTTTTTTATTGGTGTACAAACGGAAGGGCAACATTTCCTTACACTTTGTGTGGGAGAGTCTCTAAGAAATTAGATTTTTCTTTGTTTCTGCAAAAGTACCCAAGATAATTTGTAGTGTTTCCATGGAAACAATGGTGGTACCAAATTATTAGATAATTAATGAAGAAAGTGATCAGGGGAAAGCATCCTCAACCCACTCAAAAACTGACACCCACGAGCCACTTCAAAATGTAGTAAAAAGAAGGGTTTGATTCGTAGTTAGATTACTCAAAACTTGCCACTGTAAGGATAATAAGGCCTTTCTCTCAGAGAGTTGTTTTATATCTAAAAAAATGTGGTAGAATAAAGAGATGACTCACAGCCTGACAAGTCATGTATGGTCTTGTGGTAATTTGCTGCTATATAAAGGATGTGTAGAAAACATATATCTGCAGACATATTTTTGACCATCTGAGTATATTTGGGGTATTTCATTTCACAGCGGCAGCAGGTTCAGTGATGGTTGTTGTCTATGATTTAATGAGCAAAAAGCCATTATGGTCCTTTCCAGTCTTATGAAGTGCAAAATAATGGGTTTTTGGCTCTGGTCCATGATATGTGGGCATCTGCATGTCGCTGCATTAGAAATTTGCTACAGAGATGGAAGAAGCACTTCATTACAAGTCTAATAATTTATGAGTGTCACTGAAGCCACAAGTCACTGGTTGTCTCTTCTACAAATAACAGAATCAAACAAAAAAATTGTGTGTTTGCATAAGCAATGCTTATGAGTCCGTGTTTTTCTAATGATGATGTAATCTTTAGCTCAGGCCCAATTAGCCTAGAGGGTAACTCCGTAATAATCCTTACCCCAGGGCATAATGGCCTATTAAAGCAGCAGTGGACAGAATAAATGAAGAAAGCCAAAGATAGGGAAAAGAAGGAAGGCGAGGGAAGTAACAACACCCTTAGAGGAAGGGTAAACGAAAGAGAATGCATGGGCGATTTTACTGAAAATGAAAGAACTTTCGGCTTTTGTGCTTCGTCCATTAATAAAAAAAAAACTGAGTAACAATCAAAGTAACAATCAAAGTTTATAATTAGCTGCATTATCAATATTGGAGCCAATATAGGGTCTTTTTTTTTTTGCTTGTGAGAATTGCATCAATAGACAAACTCACCTGTAGACAGGTCTACTCTGTTGTTCCTGGCTGCATTGGACACATTGATATGAACTACAATCTTTCCCTCTTCAAGTGAGATCTCCAGCGTGCCGTCGTTGAGATTACTGAAAAGCAGGAGGCCGTCAGGGTTCCACGTACGAAACTGGAAACCCACAGACACCGTGTTGTGATTTGATCGGCCTGGCAGCTGCAGGAAACTGGTGGCGTTGAAAAAGACCGGAAAGGTATGTGCCTCCACACAGGAGAAAGACAGGTTCCGCTGATAGGGCACAGATTCATAAAAAGAGACGGACAAACAGAGAGAAACAACAGAAATGTCATTAGTCTTCAACAACAAAAGATGAACTTTCATACGTCTGCATGGGACATTATTTTAATACCTTTCACAATCTAGTATCTGCAAGACGTCTGTGAGAGATTCCTTAGGGATGATGGATTTGAAGACTTATAATGGCACTCAGAATCACAGAAAAATACATTCTCTTTTACATCAGGGTAAAACAAAATCATGGGTGGATTCGAGAGAAAAACAAAAGCTCTTGGGGAATTGAAGTTCTAATGACTATTGAGTTTCTCCGGTCTTATGCTTGAGATCAAATAATTCACAATCACACCATATTAAGCAGCTTTATGAGCTATAAATGGTTCCTGATTGTGTTTATGTGTTTGACTTTCTAAAATCTGTGAGTGGATCTGTTTTGATTAGAAAAAAATGTGTCTCTGTGAATTAGGCGCGTGGCTTTAATGAACTTGATTAGTGCCTCCATTTGTTCAATCAGTTAACCAGCGATTTAAGAAGTTATGCTGGCTGTTTGCTATTAAGAGGAAAAAAATCTGAAGTTTAAAGTTTATTTAATTTAGGTTAAGATATTCTCCGACAGGACCACTTGAAAGAATTGTTTTCCACAATTCAGGTAGGGTTTTTATGTCATGGTTGTATCTTGTTTGTACATTTAATGTAATAAATAAAGAGAAATCTACCAGAAATGTACCAGAATAATAACATTTGGACACCACAGGAGTTCTGCATGAAGCAACCAAACTCTCTATTAGCAACATTGCAAACCTTAAGCCAGACATCAAAGTTTAATAAATACTGCACATATTTTTTCCCAACCAGACACCTTCAGTGTCTAATGTGATAAAAATAGCAGTTCAAGGAAGTGGTTGCAGAGAAGTTGAACTCTTGTGGACAAAGAAAAATAAGTAGAATTCTTTGGGAGAATTGATGTGCCAAACTCATCGCCGGTAGAAAAACTGACTGTTAGAAAAAGACACCCTCTCACTACCTTTAAGATTAGGCTTAAAACTTTTCTTTTGACCTTTGATATTTTTTTGGGCTCAGGTGACACTGAAACACCTCACAGTTACTTTGTCATAATTCACCTTTCCTCCCTCTGCTGTCCTTTTGTTTTCCATGAAATGGGACATTATTGTTGTCACACACCTGTTTCTCCTTCTTCTTCTCCGGAGTTGTCCCTAACCTACTGTTACTGTGGTTTATTTCTCTCTTTCCTGTCCTCTCAAACCTCAGCTTTTCCTGGCAGACGGCCACCTTTTGCTGAGTCTGGATCTGCCAGAGGTTTCTTCTATTTTTTCCTCTTTCTTTTTACAGATGCCTTATGCATGCTGAGTATGGGGGGTTGGATCAAAGTGAAGATTTGGTGCAATCTGTTTAATTCATTAGCTAGGAAACATTTTTGTTTATTTGGATCTTTTTGGACTAATTTGGAATTGAAATTGAATAACAACTATGTTAACATTACATGGATTCTAATGGGTTTTTAATAGATGGTATAACTGACGTGCTGACAGATTACCTTTTTTTGGCAATTTGGCACTTTTAAATTTTATTGAATTTAACTGAATTGATTGATGAATGATAGAAAAGAAACTCATGGTAAATCATAGATATTTTATATTTCCCCCTTCTTTAAACCACAGGGTTTGAAGAAAATATATATACATATAATTCCCAAATGTCATTACTCATCATGTGTAGCTGGCAGCCTGTGCAACACTTTACTGGATGCATTTTATTGAATGGTGGAACAATTCTAATTAATCTGCAAACAACAGAACAAAACAAATCAAATCTATTAAACAGGAGGGGAATATTTTTGCACTCGTGGTTATCATCATTTATGTCTCTAGAAACCTACTACAACAATTACTCCTGAAAAACGGATCCATTTCTAACCAAATGATGATGCATATAAAAATTTATGGGAAAAAATCCTTCCAAACAATTACGGGCATAATAATTTTCCATAGTTTCTGCTAAAGGGAACGTTATTGATTATTATTCTTGCAGTTATGAAAACTTAGGCATTTCTATTCATTTTGTTGTGAAACTGTCAAAGATGGAAACAAAACTAATTCAGAAAAAAAGAACACTATGTCACTCTTTCAGAAGCTGGCAAACTCTTCTAAAGGCATTCGGGATTTGTCCATGACGTGCTATTGAAGTCAAAATACAACTGAAAACTATCTAAATGCTTTTCATTGAACATTATTTAATAAAACATTTTTCACATTCAGTGTTGAATTCTTTTCCTAGTAAGAGCAACATCTATTAGGATGTGGATTGAGCAAATTGACTTCCGTCAAAGTATTTTGTGTGACCGAGATCTGTTGGTAAGTTTCAAAACATAATGCAAATGTAACCTGGTTACAAACCGCACTCAGTGCCTCTCTTAGTGTATAATATTATTTCTATTAGTTTTTGAGTCGTTGAAGCTATTCGAACAGAAGAAATTGTTTAAAAAGAAATTTGAATATCGTGTGATATTTCCCGAAAGGTGTTGCTTTTTAAATAAGTGTCATTTTAAATACAGATCATCAATTACTTTGTTTATTTGCACATCTAACCTAGTAATTATATATATATATATATATATATATATATATATAAAAGAAAAACAAAACCGGGATTGCTTTCCTTTTGCATATAATTATAGGTCTTCATAGCATGTCAGGAAATGTTATTAACTAATAGTAAAATACCCAATGTTCTGAAATTAAATGTTCAAATCATTGTATTTAATCAAAAAATGTACATATAAGGTCTTTGAGTCACACTGAATATAAATTATTTGAAAGCCTCCTTCTTTCTTTGCCTGTTCTAATCATGACTAGAAACGTGAGCCCTTAAACAGCAAGTAAACACACGGAAGCTTCACTAACTGGTCAGACGTGTCTGATTAATTATGAATCTGTTAAACCATAGAACATATATCCCCACCCACATTCCGGTCGAGTTCATGTGACAAAGAGCATGTTAATTACTCAGCTTCCCATAAGTGTTATGTTGCCTTGTCAAGCTGTACAGTCACTTTTCTTATCTACATTTTTGTTTATATATGTTTGTATGAGTGTGAATCGGCTTACAAAGCTGGATGTGTCTAGCTTCTTTCGGCGGGCCAGGTCTGTAATGTTGTCTCCATTGTAGTTGATGCTCTCCATGCAGCCTTTGAAGTTCTTCCTCCCACCTCCACCAGGCTTTCCACTGTATGGCATCCCCCCAAAACTCAACTAGGTAGGAAAGAGGGCAAAGATGTAAAACAAAGACGAAGAGTGACAGAAACAAAAAAGACATCAAGAGCTATTTTACATGAAAGTAGCCATTGTGGTTATTTCTATGAATTATGCATCTACAGTCGATTGTTCGGGGGTCTTACAGTTGCAGAATAAAATAATGAATAGTACATTAAGTTGCTGACTAGGCTGACTTTAATGTTTAAATGATTGCCTGTAAAACGTGTTCTTATAACACACAATGCTCTAATCGAAAGGTTCAAAAAACAATTGGCTTGACTTTTGGCTACTAATACTTTCTTTACGTGTTGTTTTAAGATCATATGAAAGGTAGTTCAGGTGGTTCATGTTTTCCTGAAAGTTAAGATTTTTGTTAACTGGTTAAAAAAAAAGGTAAATCTCTGTGTGGAACAAGAGAGGCAAAGAGAGGGAGAGAATTAGCCCTGATGGCAACACAGAAAGTGATGGATGCTTACCAGAATATAGGTGTGCATGTTTCTTTTTCTGCGATCAAGATTTCATAAAACCATTACCTCAAGGGACAAAAATATTTTTCTAGGTTAAAGATGAATAAAATTACGTCATAAAAATGTTGAGTGGTGTAGAAAAGAAAAGGTAGGAGCATCTCATAAACCAGAGCACCATCTCCCCCACTGATACCTCCACATGTCCTTTACACAGAAGCTAACATTAAAGTATGCATAGTGTGAAGAAGGAAGCAGGGATGCAAAGAGGGGTCAGTATTAAAGGAAAGAGACAGCTTGTTGGAAACAGATGTGATGAGAAGGTTAGGACATGGAGTCTAATCAACAGGATTCTGACAGCAATGCGAACAAGGACGAGGAACTGCTGGAAATATAGGCAGTGTTTCATAATTCTAGTTGTAACATGTGTTCTTTTTTTCTCTTTTTCAGATACTATTCTTAGCCCCGAAGGAGGCAAAGACGATGGAGGCCAGTGTGCAACTGCCAGTCCTCGTTTCTCTCTGTTTTTATGAGTGCACGTTTGTGCTTTGGATGTCTTAGGTGATGGTCCGGTAGTCTTCGTAATTACTGCCAAGGGTAGACTGAGATGCACTCTGATATTTATTCTTCAAGCTTAAATGGAAGCTGAAAACACACAGACGTGCGCAAAGACACAAATGCACATACACACACAAACACACACACACACACACACACACATAAACAACATAGAGTGTGTTTAGTAAGTGGAAGACAGAGGTACACTTTGGGCTTTAAACTGGTCGCAATTTTGCAATCTGTGAAGAGACCTCATCTGGCAACACAAGGATGGAAACAACATGTACCACCAAACATGTCTTTGCCAGCTTTATTCTCTCTCTCTCACACACACATACATAAACACACCATTTCCCGTAACAGTTAATTTAGAAAATAGATTTTTCTAAAGCTCTGCTAATTCAACAGCTTTGGTTTTAATGTTCATTTCTCAGAATCCTATTTAACTGTACCCTTGATTTGGCACATTGGCAATATACAGTTATGTACAGACATATCAATACATACACAAGACATACACAAGCACTGTGCCACATATAGTCTGTAACGCATGCACACACCCATATCCACATGGACTCCACAATCAATTTCCGGTGTCCAGAATTATTAGCTGAACCTTTTGCATTTCATTATCGGTTGTAGTTAATTATATGAGCTCTATGGATGATCATCGCGGCACAGTGAGAAACCAATATCTAATTTCCTGTGTGGTATCAGTGCAATGTACTGATCAACAGTGATAAGAAGTTTAAATGTGGTTGCAAATCTGTGACGTGCCTGAGCACAAACAGCAAAAGCTGAAATGAGGTTACAGAAGCTTAATCAAAAGATTTTTTTAAAAAGCATCACAAAGACGGACTAATCGCTTCACTTAGGTTTGGGAGCCTTTGTTTAGACTGCCAGCTGTTTGTGAGGGCTCAGAATGCAACTGTGAGGAGCTCACTGTACCACTCACACCGCAAACCTGAGCTCTCATTAACTTTTTTGGGAAGTCTGATGATTACACACAATGGAAATGCACATTGAAATAAAACCTGCAAGCTGTCAACCCCAGATTACTTCTTTGCAACATCAAAACAGAAAATGCTTTAAAAAAAACACATTATGGTTTTCAGCTTTCAGTCAAACATTAAGGCTTTTAATGTCAAATATGAGAGGTAAACAGAGACATTTAATCTTCCCAGGTGTCCGTGTGCTCCAATCCTCTCTTTGTCTGTGTTCCTTTAACAATGGGACTGTTTTCCCAGAGGGCAGAGTCCCTGTGCCCCGGAGGATTAATAACTGAAACTGAGAGAACTGTGTTCAGGTTCTTTACTTGATACGGATGCCAGCTGAGCATTACAGCCGGTGGTCTTTTCACGTATGATATTTAAAACTTCACATGCACAGCTGAGAGCTGAATAAATCAGTTTGCATTTCAGACATCACTTCTGCAGTGGTCCACTGCCCATCAATGTTGCTAATGTTAAACCATAAGGGTATTCAAAGGAGTTTTCTACTAATTTGTCAAACTGACACAATATTTCCAAAGGATGTGATCAAAATTATTTTTGTATGTAGCAAACATGATTTTCATTATACTGCCACCTATTCATCACCTACGATTACATTGGATTCTTCCCTTAATCAGTTGTGGGGGATGACTTTGATTATTTTTTTCTTTGTTCTGTTTTGCTTAGAAACGTTTATTCCTCACCTCATAGTCCAAATCGAGATGGTCAAACTCTCCGTTGGTCCTGAAGTGCTGTGTGTGTCTGTCTAACGTGAAGTTGACGTTGCGACGGTATCGTTCAATCACCACTGAGTGCCAGTGATTGTCGTCCAGCAGGCTGCCCGCCGTCACAGACGTGTGGCCCAGGATAGAGCCGTACTGGTTGCTGCCTGCAGCACACATGCAAAAACTGTTAGCTGCAAAATGCAAACTCTGAGCGTGGTTAGTATGTCAAACCTTCATTTATCAGACGGTGCCAAGTAATGTATGTGAGAACAGAAGTCAAAGATGGATGAATGAAAATGATTCTGTTTGGGAATTCTGTGGAAAAAAAACATTCGTAAACCGTTTCCATGTGTCATAAAATGTGACGTGACATGACAATCCTAGAACATTTCCCATGTGATTCCAAATAGGTTTTATTTTTTGTTGGTATTTTTCATAACTACAAAATGAACAAAAGTCAGCTGGCATTCAAATTCATATCAGATTGTACATTTGGCTAACATGTTGAAAAATGACATCTTCTTTACAGAATAAAAACAGAATTATGACAGTCTGAATACTGCCTCCGGTAAAACATGGAAAATTTTCTTTGACGACCTTTTTTTGGAGGAGCACCTCTATGTTGAACAGCTGCCGTACTTAAACTAGGTTCTGTAAGCAACACAGCTAATGAACAGAACTGATGTGCCACACTGGAATCCCCATAGTTATTGTTCACATATTTAAGGAAATATGACTTAACTTACCCAAAAGATTTGAACATTTCAGTTATCTTTAAGAATGGACTGATGGTTGTACATTTGTGACACGTACACACCAAGTGACCAATGAATGGGAAGGAAAACATACGTCTACATACCGATAAGCATTTGCTCCTCACCTAGGTTTATCTGCAGCTGAAGCTTGGCCTTATGGAGCTCCAAAGTGATGTAGTCTCCCTGCTGGCCCTCCCCATGAAGAATCACACCCGCACTTTCTGATGTCTTAAACCTGAGTGCAATGACGTCCTTAATGATCTTCATCTTCTTCACCTGCAACAAATGTTAGCAAGCAACGTAAAAAAACAAGGAAACTACTGTAAAACCAAAATATCTATTTCTTTTTACTTGGCTAAACTGATAGAATTAATATCTAAATCCAGCTGAATTCTTTCCAGGTCTGGATTTGAAGAAACTTGTAATATGTGCTGGGATGATTGTGAAGATTTAGCATAAAGAGTTGAAAAAACAAGCAAAGACAGAAAGCTTTTACCTTAAAACGATAGGATATGACACCCTGGCCATCAAAGTTGATGACGTCTGCCCCTAAAAGACCCACATCAGAGACCTGGTTAGTGTGAATTAAATGAACACTGATCACAGATATTAATTCTGAAAATTGCACGCACACCCACGGAGTAACGCTAGAAAGTTTAATGCACCAACATTCGAAGAGCCTGTTGAAATGTAATCTTATTGCTCCTTTAATTACCAGCTTTAAAGATCCAGTGCGTAGGATGCAGTGATATCTAGAAGCAGAATACTGGAGACGACACCTCCCCACTTCATACTCACCATTCTAGCGAGTTGTAAAAACTGTGACTTCTTAAACGACTTAAGTGGCTGGAGGAGGAATCATTTGTGTGTCTACGTAGTGTGATGGTGTTAAGGAGGGAGAGTGTTCAGGATAGGACTAGATAACAGATAGGAAGACTCAATCCTCATATACACAAACAGACTCATGCACAGTCACAGTGTTCCTCAACCTGAAGTGCTTCCTGGCTCTCACATTAAAAACACATGTAAGGCAAGTATGCCTGCCACAACAGACATCTCAAACCAAATGGATGCACATGTCCTCCCGTGTCTTTGGCTGCTTTCCACTGTCGATGTTTTCTCTACTTTCATCTTTCTGCCTGGCTCCCATCTCTGAGCCATTTTTTCAGCTTTCCTCTTCAGTTTCCGCTCTACCTTCTATAGCTTCTCTGGAGTAGCTATTCTTTACCTGTGAGTGTGTATAAACACCGTAACATAGCAGTGTTTTTTACTCAATCAGAAACAAAAATCTCCTTTGAAAACAAAATGTTTAATTTAATTATTGCCTTATTGTACAAGTCATGCCACGTAAATTATAAATTGAAAGTCCACTTAAGTGGCCCGTGGTAGTTATGAGGTTTGATTGTGTCCATGGCAACAGGTGTTGCTGCAAAGGCAGCAAATGTTATTTTAGAGACCTACAAGACCAAGCAGATCGTCCACAGTATGACCTCCCTGCACAAAACAACAAACAACAAACATGCTTGGTCTTGAAATAATTGGGAATGTGATTCATTCCCTTTTTTTCAGTTTGTCAGGATAATCATGTTTTCTGTAATGGACCAATCACTAAAACTCAATATTCCTTTTTTCCGTTGATTCTATGTTAATCAAAATGGAAATGAGCGTGTGAAACCTACAGTTGATGGTGGACACACACACAAATGTACATGAACACACACCACCTCTAATTGCACAATCCCAGATGATTCATTACATGGCATTCCATTTAATTACCACACATTTACCAAAACCTGGAATTATCATCTACAACCAATATATTTAGTTATTATGCGGGGAACATAACATCTATATTTATCCTGTTCCTACTCCTCCCACTACTTCTCCTTTGTCCTTTTTCTCTTTTATCCACTTTTTCTTTGTCATAACCCGGCACAACATAGCCCATCACTGTACTTCCCCTCTCTTTTATCTTTTGTTTGGGAAACAGAAAACCATTTATGAGGGGCTGATTCCGAGAGAACTGAGGAGTGAAGGATGAGTAGATGAACAGACAAATGTATGTGTTCTCATTTTCTGACTGAATGCTGGAGAACAGAGCAGTGACAGGGTAATCATGAGAAAGCACTGCAGGCTTCCAAATGCAGCTGACAGACACTTTTGAAATATGACGCACTGACCAGGGGTGTGTGTGTGTGTGTGTGTGTGTGTGCGCATGCAAGGAGATGTGTATCTCTCGTTCTGGGTTATCACTTATATTCAAGTTGCATGCATCTGCTTACCTGATAATGTTTTTATTATGTGTCTCATCCAACAATATGTCGAGATGAGGGAAAAATGAAGAATGATGAGGCAGAATTTGCATCTGTCACAAAATCTCTTGCAGGCTTGGAAAAGTTTCAACCTTTTTATCCAAATAGTATTGCAGTTTATATCAAACAGAGTATGTTAAAATGTCTTTGCGTCTCATTTTCATTTGGTTTGGAAGATTTTCACAGACTTCAGTGTTTTCAGACGTTGGGCTTTTGGAGAAGATCCCAGCATGGCACCGTGTCTTTATCGAGTGCATATAGCTGGAAAAGGGTAACTTCAAATGCCGAATGTCAGTCTAGTGATGTTACATTTTAGAGACATAGTCTGAGCCATTCGTCTTACTTTTCCCACTTGATTACACAAACTGGTTTCCATCTCAGAGAGTGCTTTGCAAATGCCCAGCATCCACTGTGCTACTCTGTCTTACAAAATTTTGCTTTCTGGACTCTAAAACAGCTTCTGCATGACACCAGGTTGAGCACACATTGTCGTGTGCTCAACCTGGTGTCAAGATTTCTTGTCTTGACACCGGGTTGTCGACATTTCTTTTGTTAAGGTTGAGAATTCTGTTTATTGACTACTGTTGAAACACCCTGCTTTATACTGTACTTGGTAAAATACTCGCATTATTTGTGCATTATACAAGAAAAATCTCTGAAGTTAGATCCCCTGACACCATGGGATTATTAAATAATTTAAAGAGGTCATTTTGTTTTCGAATATTACATTTTTTCTCTCTACTACAGTAATCCTGTCGCTCGTGTGTTAGGAAATATACTAAATATTTTCCCAAGAAAATGTTACACACATGTTTTCAGCGTGAAGATCCACTTTGCACTCTGGGATCATTGACAATTTTCATTCTGAGGTGATGTTTTAAAATTTCGCACTGCGTGTGTAAGAGACGTGAAGGCCTTTGTTTGTCCGTATATTGTTCCGTTCGATATGAACAACACAACCACATATATGTGTGTGTTTCTGCCTCTGAAATGTGTTGCACATTTTGTCAACCTTATCATTACTGACTTGCTTCTTTTGATATGGCAAGAAAACGAAACAAGGGAAATATTTAATCAGAGATGTTATAGACAGACTGGAATACAATGAATGCCCTTGTATTCACAGAAACAAGCACAGCAACACACACACACACACACAGACTCACATGCAAAATAATCGCTTTTCCAGAATGAAAGATGAACGTGTGTCATTTGAAGCAGTAATTTATGCAGAGCCTTAATTGAAATTGTTATCTAAATCAATTTGGCAGCCTTTAATAGGATGAGAGCAAAGAGGCTGCAAGAGAGTCAGTTCCCCAGATGATGCATTTGTTAGAGAGCAAGAGACAGTTTGTGAGTCTTTGTGCAACTGAGTGTCTCCTCGCCTTAAACTGGGTTTTTTGTGTGTATTTGTTTGTCCATGAGACATTTCACACAGGGCTTGCAATTTAATCCAATATTAAAAAGTCCATAATAAAGAAAACCCCACTGTGACTTGAAAGGAGCTGACAAACCATCATTAGGCTCTCCACATGTTGCCATAATTATAAATCATAATACTACTTGTGTAACCAGGTTCACAAAGAGTGTTTGTAAGGGCTCTGGAAGGGACACTTATTTCAGCAATAAATGGAAAATATCTGTTTATTTGAGTTTTCTTTTAAAAGTCTTTCTTTTAGTCTCAGTGCCAAAATGCAATAGCGACATCTTTTGCCATTGTTCAGTTTGATCAAGTGTTTAGACTCCAGCTGTTGGTGGTGTGAGACTATTTGTATAAGTCTGAATGGGAAATATTGCAGGGAGGATACGTGAGAAGACAATGTTTGTAATGCGATCATTTCCACTCACAGTAGGAGCATCCGTAGACTGCTATGCGAAGGCCAATCCGTCCTTCCTCGCTCCAGGCAAGAGGGATGAAACGAAGGAAGCGAGCCACAATTCCCTGTTGCAGTTCATGATAAACTACGCTCTCCGAATTTGAGTTTCCAGAGAAAGCCTGTAGAGTGCAGACACACACACATACATTTTATATCTCATTGTCACATTCTTACAGTTAAACAAGCAAAGCAAGTATATATTTATTCGGATAATTAATACTCACTTACGTTCAATTGCAGGGGCTGGTAAAAGGAACTAGAACATTTTCTTTAACAGTGAATGTAAGAAACTCAGTTGGTTGGTTGCTATTAGTTTGTAGCTAACACATTAAGTTTTTCTGCTACAGCTTTGACCTGGAAGTGTTACAATTAAAGAAAATAAATAGAAAAATAAATAAAAACTGAATGAGTGGCATGTTGGCAGTAATCTTCTGTTGTGGTCAGTGACCTTGATATCATCTGCTCTCACAAAAGTGTGAAAAAAAGGAACTTCTGGGACCTCGCAATGTAGTTTTTTTCTATTGTCTAATTTAGTTAAACTCCAAAACAAAGTAAAGAATAAAGCTCTAATGATCCCACATGTTAGATGTCAGACATGCTGCAGAAATGTCCTAAGACTAAACAAATTATGACTAAGATGATTTATTTAGTGAAGATTGTTTCACACAGTATTGATCATGCTTTACTTATGCACTATATATTTCTATATTGTATGTGTGTTAGACATTAAGGTCAGATATAAAGGATTTAGTGATACTTGGACTTATGAGGATTTACCAGTTCTTATGAACTGAGTAAGATTAAAATTAAAGCAATGAATGCAAAACAGTAGCATGACTTTGAAACTATTGGATTGATATTACAGCATTTAAAAGGCTCACTGCAATTAAAATGGCCCTACGGCACAACCTCTTTGGAAGTCCAGAACCAGTAATATTATTGTGCCACATGTCCTTCATGGACTTAGTTTCTGTCATCTGCCATAAAGAAAGTTGGTCAATAGTGGTTGGATAATGAGTACTGTAATTTGATATTTTTTTAAAGATATTTTCTTCTTTCCTTTTGAATACACATGTATGATTTAGATTTCTGAATGTGGATCCTGAGATAAATATTGTCTTCTGACCTTTTGAATACACAAGTATGATTTAAATGTCTGAATATGGATCCTCAAATAGTATTTGATAGTATTTCCATTTGTTGTTTCAATGTCACTTTTACCAATGCTCCTGAATTGTACAATTTCTAGATTTTAACATACCTTTTGACTAATTGCTATTCGTCTGACAGTCCAGACTCTGATAGGATGCCCTCAGGTCTAGTTTCTCCCATACGCCACAGATGGGTCCATTGTACGTCATGTTTGGCAACAACACTCAGGCTGCTGATGGCCAGACTGACTCAGAGATTTAAAGCCTACATCCAGAAACCAGTGGGTGACAATGTCCACTTTGTATGAATTGTCTAAAATTGGAACATGCGCGGGCTGATTTATATTCATCACGATTTGACAGCGTGAGTTGTTTCCATTTGTTGTTTCATGCATGGTTGCTGTAAGTGGATGGATGTCACATCTCAATGACAGGCTGCTGGAATGAATCCCCATGCAGCACATTCAATCTGCTTTTCTGATTTGTACATGACTTTGCTTTGATTTTTATGGCGTTGTGGTTACAAGAAGAGAGCAATAGCTAAATGTGCGAAGGATGTGTTAAAAGCCCTCTAAAATGTTTCTTCTCAGCATTGCAACAGAAAGTAGAAACAATAAGAAATCTGCCTCACAGCACAGGATGTAAAAAAAAATCTCAAGGGAGGTTATGCTTAACGTGACCTCCTGTACCAGCTCAAGTCTTCTTATTTTACTCCCTCTTTTTACCGCTAACCACTTGCTGAGGATTTCCACCTACACTTGGTCTGGCACATGATGGCAAGGACCTCTAACTGCCCACTAATCCACCTCACCACGGTCCCTGAACTATTTTCACCTCCATGCCTCTTCCTCCCCGGTCAAATTAACACAAACAACCTTGGTTCCCGTCCTATTCATCTATGCACGCAGCCAAAGAGCAGTTGTGAAGAAGCATCATTAATAACACAGCAGGTAACCAGGAGAGCCACTAAGCGGCCATGTGTTATTTCCGATAACACAAGAAGTGGGAAGGGCAGAGGATGAGTGTGGCAGGGGGAAAGAAGCTGCTCAGACGGTCCGCTTTGAGCTCTGAGCTGACTCCTCAGTGACCCGAGAATGTACTCCACAAGATATGTTATCTGCAAAGAAGGGCATGGTCAAGAGTTCACTGTAAGCTCAGCCGCTGAACTTCCACCGTCCTTAACTTTCATTTTTAATCTGTATTTATCCTAAAAGGTTAACCAAAAACACAAACACTTTTTTTTTTATTTTATTTTTTTTATCGCTGCCCAGTTTTAGATTCACTCAGCTCCGCGGGACTCATCAGGGAGCCCTTCAGAATATTTTAACCGCAGCCTCTACTCTCCGCAGGTCCTCGCGATCTGAAATCTGGGTTAAGTGACCAGCTCAATGGCAGGATCCTGTTTTTGAAGAATGCTGAAAAACTCACTAAGAACTGTAGTTACAGCTTTTCTTAAGCCGCTGCTTCAGATCAAGTAAAAAAAATGCAACCGTTAAATCAAATCTCATTAAACATCTAACTGCTGATAATCACACATTTACAGGTAGGCAAGAAATAATCAATTCTTTCAAGTCCATTATAAATGGAAAATTACTTTGATTTAACAACTAGCATTCAGCACTCATAAAAGCACATTGTAAAAATGATCCCCAATTCCCGTTCACACTCATTTCTATCATTCTTTTTGTATCATGCATACACTCGCACACTGATGATACAACGAGGGAAGTTAGTAACTTGCTTAAGCAAACGGGAAAAGCTGAGGATCACACCACCAATATTCCAATCCACATCATTTCTTCTGCCATAGTGACATCAGTCATGCAAGAGTTGGAGAGGTCTTTATTGTCTTACACTAGTAAGTACCACAAAATCATTTTCGTGCTAGCTACAACTATAAAATAAGAAATATATATAAAAGAATGTTTATCAACTGATATTTTGGTTGTATATGAAGGAGACTTATTTTTGTCCAAACTGTACACATACCGGTACATGTCATTGCTAAGGCCAACTCATGAGAGACAAAGAAAAGGAAAAGACTACTAAACTGTTTTTGCCTCTGCCTAAAAGCTGAATCCCCCATCCAAAATTTTGACTTTCTCCATTGTGCTTTTTGCATTTATCTCCATTTTACTGGATGAACAGCTCAATTGAAAGACATTACTATGCATAGTGGAGGGCAGAAAGCGGGGCAGTGAAAAGAGGAGAATGACGATGAGTAAAATGTCTTGGATGCTGAGCACCTTGCAAAAGTCTGCCAAGTCAACCGTTTAATTCCCCCTACTCCAAAGTCAAATCATTAACCAAGAAACCAACGAGTAATTGGAACTGTATGTGTCACTGCGTACAGCATGCGTGTGACAGTTAGCGTCTGTGCATGTGTATGCATGTATGAGTGTTAGGGTTCTTAAGAGCTTAAACTTTGACATTTTTTCTAATTGAGAACTGAATAAATTTATGTGAACAAAGGCTGAAAACGGCCTGAAGCCAATGTCAGGTTTTGCTTAGTAAACGTATACATGTGAAAAATTTATAATGGATTTGAGTTCCGTTCAAACTTCAAATCTGAGAACTGCAGCAGATTTGTAGTTCAGCACATTTTTTAGAAAACTAACATTTCCAAAAGTTGCTGAGGGAAGCTTTGGATCTTTGAAACCAGAGAAAAGCTGTCAAATCAACCTCGAAATTGATAAGATGAGCGCAAAACAATGAGTGAAAACTTGACTCGGAAAACAAAAATAATGAGGGAAGCTGAGAGTCAGTCCGTCTGACTTCTTTTGGAACACCAGGGCTTCTGTCATTCAAGAAAGATCAAGCCAATCACTCCACCACAGCTGGTCAGCGAACGCCCCGGTGGGCTGCTCTGTCTCACACACACACACACCGCACAAACAGACAACACTCACCGTGTCACCGAGATATATCTGTGCTCCCACACACAAAACACACACACACACACCATTATCTGACTGTTCAACGCTCTCATTTCTCTACCCGCTTAATTATTCTCTCTGGCTGCATGTCTTTCATTTCCTTGATGTTCATCTGTCCCCCTCATCTCTGGGTGCATTTTCGTGGCGCGGTGAATAGATATCTGCGTGTTGTCATTGCATTTGTGTGTCTGTTTTGACACCCAGGGACAGGCCTTTCCAGTGGACAGATCTCCACATACTGAGAAAGAACCAGTGAAAGCTTTTTTTTTTTTTTTTTTCTTTTTTGGCATTTGCTTGCTGCTGTTAGCCCCTTGTTGTTAGAGTTACTGAGAGTCAGGGCCATTTTATATTTGTGTGTGCGTTTTCACCAAACAGGCAGGGGAAATCAGTTCGGCTTGGTCTGGTCCTTTGTTTTTCCTGACAAGTGCCTGGGACTATACAGAGGGGCTATTGAGAAATTTTTGTTTCTGTGAGGCCCTGTGACTAGGGGTGTTTGTTTGGCTCCGTGCCCTTATGGTGCAAAGAAAACAGGACAAACTGTGGTAACGCTGAATTTAAATCAGGAATTCAGAAACTTGGTCCAAAAGAGTGAGCCAAGAACTGTGAGAGAAACATTATGTGTCACAATTTGATCCACGTGAATGCAAAGAAATGGCCTCAGTCAAATAGATTCTTAATTTTTGCTGAAAATGTCTGAACAGTGGCTTTAGCATTAATTCTGGAAGTTCCGTGAAGGGTGAAGAACATGACCGACTTGTGCTGAAAACAGGTGGAATCTGATCGGTCTCCTAAACCCACGATGGTATGATCGCACATGAATGACTTGATGTGTGCTGCTAAACCGATAATACTTTGAGCCTTTATTATTCTTATCACATCTCCGAAACTGTTCTACCTTAATTATCGCTGTTCCTTTCTTGACATTGATTCAGTTTCTACAAGTTTCCATCTGCATATTGATATTACAAATTTAAAATGTTATTTTTTGATGAAATCCCATAATGCTTTAGCATGACACTGATGTCATTTTGC